TCAATCTCCCTTATTGAATTCGTGTTGTTTCATTTATTTGTATTCATTAATTTTTAAATAATTGAAGTATTCTTCCCATTTGTAATATTAAGTGCAGGAGAAGTACATTTCGATTCCTTTTCCATTACACCACTCAAATCGATTAAAGTATTAAAGATGGAATACAATGCGTTGTATACCTGTTAAAATAGTAAAAAGTTTAAAATACTCAATAATTTGTAATTCTGTCGTTCTATGTCTTTGTTTTTCAAGCACAATAAAGTGCAGTATACTGTATGCGAATAAATAAAAGATTTCTAGCTGCCTAGTGTCTGATTGACTGCACTTTATAGTGCTTGGGAAACAAAGTTTAAAATGATTATTAATGCGTTTTGAGTTCCATATCAGTATAGTAGAGAGTATCAATATAGTTGAGAAAACAAAGTAAAGTCGGCTAGTACTTTGTGGACAACAACATTGTACACTGTGTGGGTTCGCGCCTGTATAAGGGAAGGTCAAGTGTTATCGGACGAACGTTTTTTTTTAACTGCAGGTTGCAATTCCTGTCAAGACAGCAGTGTGTTGGATAAAGAAAGAGAGTTTAATTTAAGAACCGCCATATTTATTCAAGCGACAGTGTTGTTGACACGTGGCAAAAAATTTTGTTTTTTTTTAATAGCGTTATGAGTGAAGAAATACAAATTCTAGTAGTCACAGCTTGTTTGAAATTAAATATAAGTTGCTTTCTGTTAATTGTTAAAAAAGCATTTATTGTTTTTTAAATTCTAGGCCGTAAATCCCCTAACGCTTACTAATACGTATGTGGTAATCAATATTTTGTTCTATGATGTTTGGGATGTATCGGAATCAGTTTAAGGTTAATAGGAGTTATATTTTTACGAAATGTTTTTGTTTTGCAGAAAAATATGGATAAACCACGGCATTGATAACTTTCAAAACCTGTAACAGACTAGCAGATGAAGGAAGTTCGAGCAGTCTTGGAAAATGATTATAAAACTGTTTTTCTTATTAAAATATTTTTTAAAGTAACAGCATCACAAAACATTTTAGAGGCGATATTATCACTTTTTAGCATCTCAAATACAAAATTAATATAGAGACAAAGTCAACAACAGAAAAATAAAGTTTTAATGTCGACTTCATATAAAGCCGAACTTGAACTTAAGAAATCAGATGAAAAAGAAAAAGAAAGAATGTAAGCAGCTAAGAGGAAAACTGCTAAATGTAAATCGTCTAATAAAAAAAAAACAAAAAAAAAATTGTAATTTTGGAATTTATAGTCTGATAATGTTTGAATTTTTCTTATTTATACAACTTTTTTATCGTGTATTAAAACATAGTATTTAAATCTGTATTGTGTAATTTTATAAAATGATAAAAAAATTACACTGCCCAATAGTAAAATGTTGTTTGTAAAAGCAAAATTAATTAACTTCTTGCATATTTTTTCTTCATGTCCGATACAACCCTTACAAGTAAAATTGACAAAAATGTTGTGACTGTAAAAAGTGTAAAAAACTATTGATATTTTATCAGAAAAAGTTGTGTTTTAAGATATGTTTTTATAGAACAATAAAGTTTTGTATGGAATGTAATGTGGTCTAACTGCTCTGTAAAAACATTTTATAATATAGAAGGAGCTTACTTGTCATTTTCTACTCGATTTTCCTATACGTGAAAGTGAGAAAAGAGCAGCTACATTTCGTTTTCAATCTGTAGCAATTCCAATCACTCTCCCTTGCATAAACTTATCTTATGCGAGATGTAAATTACGTTCAGGGCATCGGGAAATAAGATTACAATCGCAACTGTATGAAAACACTGATAAAAATTTATTCAAATCTAAACTTCGACTTGATACCTTCCACCAAAATAATAAAGATCTCAATCTACCTGCTTTTTCAAAACTGCCAAATAAAACTCGTTAGCAATTGTCTGTTTCGTTTGTTCAGCAAGATTTTAAGTGAATCAATAACGTGATAATCTATTAGGAATAAATTACTGTCGAATTAATTCTGGATAACGTCAGTTTGTATTAGTGTGCCCTGCCCTGCTCTAATCTTTCACAGCAGATAAGCAGAAGTAAAAAGGCCTTTCTAGAAATCATGAGCCCTGATATAAAGCTATTTTCTATGGAAACAATTCTAAACAATGTGGGTTATACATGCAGTGGTTATTGATATGATAATATATGATTCGATTATGTAATAGTCATTTTAAATTAATTATATATGAAAAACGTTAATATTGAGCATGTTATATTTAGCTTTTGTTTTACTGAGCGTGTAATTTTTTGTCGTTAATTTTGTTGACTTAAACAGAATAATCTGTGTAATCTAATATATAATCGAGACAGGTTGATGATAATAATAATAATAATAAATAATAATAATAATAATAATAATAAGCGCAGAGCCCAAACGGTTAAGAGTTGAAAGTTGAAATTTGATACACAACTAGGATACGTTACCAGAACGCACACTAAGAAGGGATTTTTCGAAATTCTTTCCCACAAGGAAGAGACACAGGATTAAGTCTTAACACTTCCATCAACAATGGAAGTGTTATGTAACAGTGGAATTGTTCAGAGAAAGCCACATAAAGACGCATGTGCAGTTCTTTTCGTTTTGCAGGAAATCAAACATATTTTTAGACCCATCTAAAAATTCTATAATTAGTCTGTAAACAGGGAAACCCAATTCTTGCATTCTGTGAAAACGAGTAAGGTTGACTACAGTCGACCCCCCTATAAAACGGTAGATACGTTCCGTTTTTTATGATCGATTTATTACGAGTCCTTGCCAATCACAGCCCGGCACGTATGCACTTTACGGACTACGGCTGTTTGAAAGGTTTTCTTCCATAAAATTAATCGATTCTAGATTAATCCGACTCAACATTTCCAAAATACGTATATTTTTGGGGGGAATAATCCGTATAAACTACGCTATAAACAAAAAATTGTAGGACTAATTGCCGAGTTTGCACCATTTGACATCGCCGTTGCTCAAGCTTGTTTTCGTCGTGGAACAGCTCAGCAAACCGCGGCCGCGATTTCTGATGTTATTTTTCTGCGAAAACTTCGCTGAACTTTGGAGACATCATTAATATAAATAATTTTTATCGCCGTTGAATAAGAAATGTTTCTTTCACAAGAAATGTATAAAATTANTACCGGCCTAAACTGTCCGTAGCGTGGCACTGGACGGCAGGAAAGTAGTTCGGCTGCCCGATGACGTTTTATGTAATTATAAGAGTTTTTTTTTACCGTTGTGTACGGATACCGCCACAATTTTTTCGCCGTCTTTTAGGAATCGTAATTATAGGAACCTGTCTTATACGGGTGTCTACTGTATAACGTAATAATCTTAATTTTCGCTATCGTTACTTTTGCCTGAGCAACGCCCGGCCTACCTGCTTGAGACTGGTAACACAGGGGTCTCAGACACTTAGGAAACTTGCTAAGCTTAGAAATAGCCTACTCTTTTTCTAACTATCTTAGGAAAAGGATGAATGCTCAGACCGGACGAACTCCGCAGTAGAAACACTTCAGAGGCTGACCAAGTCCTCTCTGAAGCGTAACAGTTCCTGAAAGTCCAACTGAAACGTGAGCCATCACATTTTATATTTCTGTGGTTACAACTTGTATAGTTTATATACATATTAGTAAATAAACTATATATATTGACTACCATGAGTGTGGGGCGTGCTTTTATTGAACCTTAGATCAGACCACTATCGAATCGTGCTTAATTCAGAAAACCAACTCGAGACGGAGGTTGGTGTTGAAGATTCACTGACTCATTAAGAACTTTTCTTCCCTTTTCATGTTTACAAACATACAAACCGCAAGTGCATGCAAGTGTGCTGTGACTATTACATTAAACTTCGAATGCACATAGCTATTAACAAATGCATTATATTGGAAAATGTTTGTTTATTTTTTATATAAAATTATTAATAAAATATCTCTCATAAATATTCACTGTTGTAATTGTAGCTTTATCTACATTTTTACAAGTATGTCAAATCACTGTAAATGACACTTTTTTATAAAGTATACCATGCAATTTAAAATAGTGTATGAGTAATTTGAATATACTTATGTTCATTACTGTGCTTTACGTGTTTTATTTAACCAACATATCAAAAATTGTAAAAGAAACGTATAGCATTTCAACTAAGAAGAATGAGAAAAATGTAATAATTAGAAGGAGTCATACAAAATCAGGTTTAGACTTTTTTTTGGGATGATTTGAAGTCAATTTCAGAATGCGAAGAGTTAGTTTTAAGTTTTCAAACCCGTTCTAATTAATACACAGTAGCTTAAGTGAAACCTAAATAAGAGCCATTTGTAATAGAAAATTCCTCTTGGGGAGATCTCGGCGTGCGCATATAGCCGAACTGTTGGCGTTATTTAATTAACTCTACATATTATTGGTGGGTTCAGCCAGACTGAAATTGAGTAATTGGTAAGTAAGGGACGAGACCTGACATATTTAAGAATGATCGCAAAAAATTCTTAGAGAATTTTTCACCTACTCCAGTTATATAACTCAAAACCCCCAGAGTAAAACGCAAAAGCCATAACAGCCACGACCATCGGTTCAACTAACATATATTTTCGGAAATAAAATAAAAAGAAATTTATTTTCACAAATGTAAACATATTTGCAGAAACAATAGCTAAAATAAATTATGCGCAAATGTCGAGCTTTATTGTGCAACAATAGCAATTAACAAATTACAGTGGTACCTCAGGATACGAACTCCCCAGCATACGAAATTTTCAGGATACAATCTCAGTTTCGATACAGGTTAATTTCGTATCCTGAGGTACCACTGTATAGTCATGAAGAGAAACGATACATTATGCATGTGATAAATTTTGTCTTTGAAACTTTACGAATGACATAAATGCCAAATAGTTGTTTCATTTAAATAGTGATTAACAGTGCTTTATATCACATACAAAAAAATATGTGATAATTCGTACTAACCTTGATGAAGAAATCTTCTTTTATATAGAAGAAACCACCAATAGATATTCCTAATGGAATTTTTCCAAATCGTTTCATGTAGCAATTCATCTGGAAATTAAATACATACATTTATTTTTAAATTGAAAAAATTTTGCAACGAGAAGATTAACTTTCCCGGAAACATTCTGCAGCGCCATCTGTTATCATTTTTTACTAAAATTTTTTATTTTATAACATAAAGCTAAATTTTCACAGTAAAGATACGTTTACATTAAGAGAATTGTAAATGCTAACAGCGAGCGAAATAGTCATTAATCTGTCCCTACACGAGATACGTATCGCGATGATTTTAATCTCGCTACCCCATTAACTTTTAATCATCGAAACTTAATATTATAAATCCCCCTAACAAACAAACTTCCCCACGAAATTTCAGAGATTTTCAACAGAAACCACAGAAATTATCAAGCTTTAAAATTGGTGGAAAAAAATCGTGCCACTCATCGTTAGTCGTAGGTTGGTGCCTGGTAAACGTGAGAGTCACGTAAAGACTTCGGAGGTTCTTCACGTTTTTAAAACGAAAATAGGAACGAGATTCCCATAGAAGTCCTTCTGAGAAAAAACTTGGTGTAGCAGATCGCACACGTTTAGCGATGATACAAACAAACAGAGCGGTTTTGAAATCTAACTGTTATTATTGCTCTTATATATCTTGAAATATTTTTACTATCTGTTAAACTAAAAAGGACAGATCTTCAAATGCATTTAATCACAGTAGCAAAAAAGATATATTCTTAACATAAAAATTATTATAAAATAAAACACTAGACAATTTTAATAAGAAATACAATGATGGAAGTTAACTTTACCTTCAGTTTAAATTCCAATGATAAATCCGCAGAAGAAAGTTTATAGATAGACGCAAAGTTGTCGTACAACTGAAATAAAAGTAACCCATCATATAATTTTTCTATTCATATTAAGCTCACATGTGGCCAACTGGATAAAAATTACCGCCTAACCAATCGTTAACAACGTGCAGTTTTCCTAACCTCTATGTATAGTAGTTTTGCCCAATTATCACAGGTGGGCCTAGAGCAGGCCTGGCCAACCCAAATTGTTTCGCGGACCACTTTGATAACGCGTAACATTACGGTGAGCCACAATTTAGACAAACATGCTTTTAAAAAAGTAAAACAAATAAAAATGAATAATATTTTATTGTTATACCAAGAGTTCGTACTCGCATTATAACAATGCCACATGCAAATTTTCATTTATTTAATTGTTATAGTATATACATAACGGGAAACAAAAGTTTTATTAGAAATATAATATAGCTGAGGGGGCCACACAATTTAACGTGACGGGTAGCAGGGTTGGCCAGGCTTGGCCTAGAGTATGGCATTTAAAAAAAATTTAAATAATTATATGTTATATAATTTCGAACTTACCACTGAAGCAGAATGTGATAATGTCCAACTTATTAACAATATAATTATAACTGGAGATACAAGAAGAAAATAAAACTTTAAAGGTTGAACCATTTTTATAAATATGGCAATGTACACGATGATACAGCATATGTGCATGGAGATAGCATACATTAACGGCGAAAGATCTTTATAACTCTCATTTAATTCTTTAAGAAGTTGCCAAATTTCGACTTGCTTTTCGAAAAATTTTTGTAATTCATACTTCAAAAATAAATCATTTACCTTTATTCTTTCAAACTCCTCTGATAATTTCACGCACCTGTTTATTAAAAGCACACCAAAAGAGGAAATCACGACAATTAATGTTACAATTTGTCCAGATACGTAAAAATTTCCCAATGTAACATAAACAGAGCATACGAGTCCTTCTGTCATGCTTCTACCTTGTTTTCTCAATTCACCGATGTTTAGGATACCTAAGACATAAGTGACAAATATAAAACATATAAATAGCATGAAAATGTAACAAAATTGAAAAATTTCCATTCGTTGTACCAATTTATATTCTTCCTTGTAGTAGCTTTTCACAATATGAAGACATATTTTTTTTGTTTTAAAATACTATACTGTACTGCTGTATACAATAAAATTATAACCAATACCACAGACCATAGATATGAGAACTCTTTAAAATATAAAAGGGCTCGAAAACAGTAAATGTCGAGATTTCGCAAACTGACTGGAAATTAGACACGCAATCCAGAAACCTGCTTCGATGAGATCACAATATACCTTAAAAATTTTTTCAGAAATAACACTTATATCTTCTGCCATACATCGACACGGGACCACCGGAACTATTCCAAAAACTTTCAAGCAATTCAAAGCAGGACGAAGAAGTAACCCTAGACCTCTATATTGCCGATCAGATGAATACATACTTGACCACGCAGAAATTTCAATTTAAAATATATAATAACAAATAAATAAGACTTCTGAATACAGAGTTTATTCGAATGTACGTAGGTGAAGTAATATAAATAACCGAAATCGTAATTTTTTAAATATCGACTAAATGGTAAAAACCAACGAACATTGCCAGTTGGTCGTTAGTTCGCACCTGACCAACGGCGCACGTTTTTCCTGGAATTTTCACATGTCTAACGTCAACATAGATGCCAGTTTTTCATGGAAATCCCTTCAAGGGCTACCGTTTGTTGTGTAGTTTCCCAACTGTTCTATTGCTTTATACCATCATACCACTCTATAGAAACTGAAATTGCTGTAACAACACAACTGAATATAGAATTAAGTCGACTGCTTTCGTAACACAGATTGCATTAATCTACGTGCAAGATTTGACGTCAATATTGCGGAATTATACGTTGTCACGTAAGTATCTCAATCAGATCTATTGTTTCGTTGGCAAACACTTGAATATGTATTTGAAAATAATAACTGCAAGTGCTGTTGCTTATCTTCTCTAGCAATCGTGCACCAGTTAGGGAAAGTCCGATAATTTCAAATTATAATAAAATATAAAACTTTAATAATAACAGGAATTTTACATTTAAAAATTATTTAAATTTAAAAAATGCCTACGGCACTACTTTAAATTTAAATTTGTGTGTAGCCTCATATGACACGTGATCCCTTTTATTAATTTTTCACATTCAATATTATTCACCATAATTGTACGGCATGAATGCTCCTTATTTACAAGTTACTATTCAAAATTTCGTTCTTTAATCTTTACTAAATCCTGACATATTAAAAAAAGAAATATGCTCCATCTAGCAAAAAGTAATCCACAGAATTTGGCACGTTTTCTGCACTTATGTAAATTTTTTAGATAATTAATTAATACTAATTTATTGAGTTCTTCGGAAAAGTTTGAAATAAAAAGGTACGATTTAATTTTTCATTGTATAATATTTAGTAATATGAAAAATACATGTTCATAATTGTGATGTAGTGAGCAGAAGAGAAACGTATACACGAAACGGGTATCGGTGTGTAAGATATTTCGAATAAAGAGTGATGTTAAAGGTGCCAAATATACCTATATACCTAGTTTTTAAGTAAAAAATACTAATTTAGACAAAACTGACTATTTAAAAAGAAACAAAAAATATATTCTTGAAATATTGTTTTT